GCGCGTCCCGTGCCGGTCTCCAGGAGCCGCCGCCGCCGCCGCCGCCGCTCGCCAACATGGCGGACCTGGAGGCCGTGCTGGCCGATGTCAGCTACCTTATGGCCATGGAGAAGAGCAAGGCGACGCCGGCCGCCCGCGCCAGCAAGAAGATCGTCCTGCCGGAGCCCAGGTACCGGCGCCCCCGGCCCGCGCCGCCTCTCCCCTCCCCCGCAGCTGCCAGCGACCCCCTGCGTCCCGGTGGGTCCGGCGCCCCGCTGCACCCGATCGATGACCTCAGCGACGGCCTCGCCGTTCCGGTCCCTGAAGTGGGGCTGCGGGGGAGGGCTGTGGGGAGCGCGCGGCGAAGTGCTCCGAGCGCCGGGAGCGCTGCGGCCGGGAGTCTGGGAAGTGCTTGTGACCCGGCTGGACCGGCCGCCTTCACGCCGCCCTCTCCTGCTCAATCTCTGCTCATCCTTCTAGCTTCATCCCTACGGGTCATCCGTGTTCCGTTGCTGTGGCTCCCTCTTGCCCCATCCCTGAGCTGTTTTCCAGCCCCATCTCGGCCACTCCTACTGCCCCATCCCTGGCCTCCCCTCCAGCCCGGTCCTTACAGTCCTTCTATACCCCGTGCTCGTCATTCTCTAGAGCGCCACCCTGCTCGTTCCTTTTGGGGTGCCTGCCGCCCTCTCTGCTGCTCTCCCTGCTGCCCTCCTTTCCAACTCCATCCTCTCTTCGCTTACTCTGACTTCTGAGCTGGAGAGTGCTGGTTTGGTTGGTCTTTTGTCCCAGGTACTTCAACCGCGTGCTCCCTAAGGTCTGTCTGAATAGGCATCTTCCCAGTCTCCTTTCATCTCATACTCAGGCAGGGGGGAGTGGATTCTGACCCACTCAGTTTTCCATTTAATACTAAGTCTGTCACCTGAGCTGCTTTCCTTAACTTGCACATCTTCGATGGCACTTTCTTGAAAGGTTGAAATGAGATTCATTTGAAAGCAGTGGATGGAGTGATGACAGGAATTTAGTGTTAAATCACCAGAGGGGCCCCCATGGAATTGGCAACCAAGTTGCCATTTTCTCTCAAGTGATTTATTACTGATTTTACTAAGATTTTGATTAATTTTAGGGTGTTACTAGTTCATGTTATTAGCAATACCATAGAAAAGATTGTTCATGAGGTTAATAGTTTCAACGAGTGGGCCAAACCATCAGCGTTGGGTTTTCTTTTCTAGTTCTTTTCCTAATGAACATCATCGTTAGTTATACAGCTAGTATGGCACAGTGATGCAGAATAGCTCTTAGTGGAACCCCTGGTATAAAGAGCCATTATCTTTATAGTGAATTTGAAACCTTGCAATTATGTAAAATGTTGGAATCTCAATCAAGGCTGTTCTGTTTGAAATCATCACCCCCAAGATTGCCTTAATGTTACCTTGATATAAGAAAAAAGAATGATGCCAAGTGATCGTAGATTATTTTCTACAAGTACATTTATGAGCCCCTTCATGTAGAAAAACATCAACTCCTTTGAGTTCTTTTTTTATGACAAGTTAAATTGTGTGAAAGAAGACATGCTAGCTGGGTATTTCTTAGCTTGTTGTCTCTACTTAGTCCCTGCCTCCTCTTTGTTGGCAGAGTGTGTTGCTCTTTGATAAGCAATGCCAAGTGGTAAGAATCTGGAAAGGTGCAGACCTTTGTGGAGCTTTGTGAATTTAACACTCGTAGAGCTTAACATATCTGAAGTTAATTGAAAAATCAGTGCTGTATAAAATTTCTGGCACAATGGAAAACTTACTTAGAGAACAAGAACAAGGTCCCCAAAATCAAACTTGAATTTCATTAAAAAAAAAACAAAAAACTATATTTCTATACATGTGAAATTAAAATGCTTAATTTCTTTTTCTCCTGCTTTCCTACCCTATCCCCAAAGACCACAGAATCTTAAACGTGTATGATTTCTATATATAAAATCAATAAATCTCAACTCATGTGCAGTTTTAGGGGGAGAAGTATATATTACTAAAATTAGGAACTTCTGATCTTTTTTTTTTTTCTTGGTATTTTGAACTTAATGTCACTTCTGCTTTTTAGGGTCTGTCTTAAGAACGACATACTCATGTGCTTAGGGCATTCACTTCCTGTATAAATCCCCTTGTGTTTGGGTGGTATTCTTTAGTAATGCTTTCTTTTTAGGGAGAATTGGTGATGGTGAGCTTTATTTCTCTTGACATTTTAGAATTGAGAAATGTCAACTGGAGAGTAATTGTAGGAAACAGCCCTTTGGTAATAGTTATCTTGTTGCTATTTTTCAAATGGACTCTTGGATTTGCCATTGCATCCTTCTCCTGAGATTCTAATTTGTTTTGCATTTGTCTCAAGGACTTTGGCTTAGTTTTATAATATAACCGTTTACATAGCGACAGTCCTTGTGCTGAGTTAGGATTCTGTTACCTTGAAATTATCAGGTAAAGCATCTTGCAAATAGGCTACCTGGTTCATTTGGGAATGGAGGGTGGGAGGTTTCTAGATCCTGTAAGAAAGTTTATTTCGTGTTAAAAAGCCTCAGCATTAATGACTCAAAAAGCCATTATGATTTCACCCTGTTGGAAAAGGATACTGTCAGATCTTTTCTGATAAGAATTTCTATCTCAGCTCCATTTTGGAGCGAGCCATGTGATCACCAGTCTTTGGTGTTCTTGGAAAAGATGTTTAGATTTTGATTCCTTGTATTTCAATGAGGAGCATACATTTAAACTTGCCATTGGCCTGTCACCATTGATTTTTTATTTCCAGCTAATCATTTGTGGTCATTATAATATTCTTTATTTTACTTACTTTGCCTTTTCCACAGTTTTAAACAGAAAAGCAAAAGAACCAGATACTATCGGGCTAGCTTAAATGAAACACCAGTCTGCCAGGGCACTGCCTTCTGTACCTATTACAGGAGTCTCAGAAAATGGAACATTCAGCCCAGGGGAAGATTTAGCTTCTCTGAGCTGGCAAGAAGCAGACATTTTGTTATGTTGACATATGATTCAATTAACAAGCCAATGAGTATAAATCCTGTAAAAGCTGACTGTTTGTTCAAGTTATATACCTGCTCTGGTTAACTGAAACATTTTTTGAACTAATGGGGCTGATAATGGGACCTATTGGGAATAGGTAAACTGACCTGCAGACTCAGTCACTGCATAGAACAGTTAAAACAGAAGCCTTGAGATATGTGTACCAGTTGTACCCCATGTTAGAAAAGAATCACTACTTTGATTTAAGTAGGGCCTAATTTATAGCCAAGGTATACACAAAGAGTCAACGACTTAAGCCTGACCCTAATTAAGACAGCTTTCCCTTAGATTCTATCACCCTGTTAGCCTTTTTCAAACAGAATAAAATTGAATTGAAATCACACATAGCTGAAAGAAATTGAGTGACCCAAACGTGATCGTTTCCCTGGAGGCTCAGTTGTGTTTTTAGGACATTGAAAATTGTGCATTATCAATTGCAAAGCTTATTACATCAAATATTCCTACACTTTTATAGGAAGATCTGAGGAAAACATGCTTGAGATTCTTTATACTGTTACTGTTTATTATCCTAATTCAGTACATAGTTGCAGAGCCGTTGCTGTAAGCTAGGGAGGGGCACACTATGATGAACCCCACAACAGCCACACACAAACGATTGAGCCAAGAAAGATGCATGCTCTCAAGAACAGCCACTTCAAGATTCTGTTTAACTACTAGTATGGACAAGTAGCATTTGGATGACTTTTATTACTCTTTATTCATAGAATGCATTGTTTGCAAAAAGTTGATGATTTCCTTTAAAGAACTATCCAGACATGGACGAATAGTAATATGGTAGTTTGCATCTTCCTTTTTGTAAAATTACCATGTACAATAGCAGTGTCTTTTCCTTCTTCTGTGGAAATGGAGTATATTCTGTAATTTGCTAATTCTAATTAGTGAGCAAGTGGTGGATAATTTGAAATAATCCTCCCCACTTAGGTTTTAGGATGTTCCATGATGGCACCCTTCTATGTCACAGCCTAACTTGGAACTCCAAATAGATATTAAAAGAATGAATAAAGCTGGGTACATAGATCAGTGGTAGAATATTTGCCTAGCATGTGTGAGGCCCTAGGTTCAACTCCAAGTACTAAAAAAAAAGAAAAGGATACCCTTCAGGAAGAAAGATCTATCTATATATCTATTTATCTATCCATCTATCAATTGATTGATCATAGTGCAGACTGGCCTTGAACTCACTGTGTAGCCCAGGCTGGCCTTGAACTTGTGACAGTTTTCCTCCCTCAGCCTTCCGAGTGCTGGGATTATAGGTATACACCAAACCTGGCAGAAAATTCTCTTTATTAGTGATAGGAGTATTTCTGTGTCTAAAACAGCAGAGGTGTTCTTACTTCTTTTTCACTAAGGTACACTTTCAAAAGGTTATTTGTTCTGACCTTTCAGGGGGTTTTTTGGGGGTTTTTTTTTGGTACTGAGGATTGAACTTGGGACCTTCTGCTTGCAACGCAGACGATGGAACCGCTGAGCTAAATCCCGGGCAACAGTTGTTATTTTGTTCTTGGTCAAAGTTAATTTGTGCCAGTGCTTTGAAGCTGCAAGGACTGCCTGGAGCTGCCAGTTCTTAGAGACAGATGTTCCAGTGTCATCACTGTTGGACCTAACTTGGCCCCAGATGAGCATTATGAAATGCTTTAAATTGAGAGCCCTGTGGATGTCTTTGAGGTACAAGCAGTTCTGGCTTTTACACAGTCTGTTCTCAGAGACTACCTCTTTAAGTGCTTCCCCAGTACATTGGAGTTGGTTTTGGTAGACATCTGTGTGATCAAGGGTGGGAACTCTTAAAGGAAGGCATTGAGGGAAGACAGTGCAGGTCTTTTTCAGCCAGTGGATGGATGGTGAGCAGGTTAGTGGACTGTAGAGGATGAGGAGCAGGCCTCCTAGGGGCTAGTAAGGGAAGGAGAGGCCTAATGTCTATTATGTTGTGACACAGCAACTGCCTTTCCTGAGAGCTTATCTTCTTTGACTGGCAGTTCCTCTAGACCTACCAGATGAGGAGCATTTGCCCATTTTACAGAAGGAGCAGTTGGATGCTCAGGGGAGGTAGGAAAGGTAAGCCCAGGTAATAGCAGACGGTAGCAGAGACAAGCTGGAAGCCTGAGTATTC